TTCTTCCTTAGATATCGTTGAATCTAGATATTTCAACCCATCAGCCCTGACCAGCACAGCTGTAGGCCTGATTGTCACATCGTGAGCATCCGTTAATACGTCGTATTGCTTGCACGGAAAAACCCCCTGCTGATGTTGAGAATTGAGACCAGAAACTTTTTCTAATAGATGGGTACCCTGTCTGAGATAACTATTGCCTTCCACTAGCTCCATCGTCGCTGTGACATGCTGCAGGTATCGGGGGAGCCGCTGACCCTTCGGTCATGTCCGGCGGGATATTGGGTCAAATTACGACCTGAACAGTTAGTTGCCCGATGAGGAAAATCTGCTGCCGTTTCTCGCTTCTGGCATCACAAGCTGGTGGATTAGAAATTCATGCCCCTTGTGGTTTGGGGAAGGCCGTAACAGGGTGACGACGCAAACCGTTGTGCCGCATCTCACTGGGCAGGTTTATGGCCTGGCCATGGGCGCTCATGGTAGTGCCCAAGTCGAGTGCGACGAGTTGACTGTTTGGCCCATTCGGTGACTTATAAGGCAGCCACAGCGCGTAAGTTCAAAGGCCAAGGATAAGTCACAAGCAATATTGTAATGGCACATGCAATGAAAAGCCGTATGCTAATTACAGGGTGTAAATATACTGGAGGCTACTGGTGCCACTGATGAACGAAGGCTATTTGGAATATAGACTGGGCTGTAACGGAGTCAGGCGTAGCGTGGTCTGAACTGAGCAAAGGGAAGAAGAGGTACAAGTGGACTTGTGAGGTACGTGAGGGGTTAATCCCATTTCTAGGTGCGCGAAAAGCAGCGAGAGGTTGCATGGCTGAGAATTGCCCGACAGGGCAGGTGCCCGAAATGGCATGTTCGAGCCACCATTTCCGGAAGCGGCCTTGCCGTCTCTTATTATACTTATATATAATATTTATAAAAAGCGATTAGTTTAATAAAAAGCTTTAAAATCGATTCAAATATTTAATTTACACGATTTATTATTATCAGGCTAGGTGTAAAGCTATAAAAGAATTATTTACGGGTTTAAAGTTAAAAGGTTAACAAATAAACGCTTTAAAGCTATTTTTTAAGTTAAAAACGATAATATTTTCTTTAATTATATAAATATATAATAATCTTATTGTCACGGCGAGCGTACTGAGGAGCTGGGACATGGCCGGTAGCAAGCAGCTATTACTTTATTGACGAGAATATCAAGACTAAAGAGGAGAGGAAGAGAGAGAGAGTGATAGGTACAGTAGGAGGTTGCCCCTTTAAGAGGATCCTTTGGTCAGCTCCTTCCCTTATTGGGAAGTATCCGCTTGTCATGTGAGAAGGTCTGTGCAGGCCGTCACACTTATCATTGGATTATTTTAACAAGTTAATTATAAAGCTTGACTTTTATTTCGATAAGATATAATAACTCTTTGTTAAATATTTCAACGTATATATTAACATTTTTATAATAGTTAAACATTTAACTAACGTTAATCAAACTAATAAAAAGCTAAAGGTAATAATTACGTAATAAAACGATGGCTTTTAAACCTTTTATATATTTTATATATTAACGTTTACGTTTAATATGTTTGTATTTGTCGATAAATTCAATATTAATAAGAGGAATTATTATTGCCATTATAAATAAGCATTCAAAAGATATATACTATTTATAATGAAACTTTTCATAAGAAGAAATATATTTAATATGTTAACAACTTTCGTAATAAATAACATTGTAAATAATCTCGCATGTTAAGGCTTAATAATTACTACTAGCTTTACTAAGTAACTATATAATTAAATATATCTTTTAATAAACTTCTTTCTAAATTTAAAATTTCTATCAATATTAAATAACGCTATATCTGTTAGAACAGGCTTGAACGATCAATCATAATACTCGAGTATGGGGTCAAGGTTATGATGTTACTGATGGTTGGATTGAGAGGAATCTAGCTGGACTCGAAGGTCTGGCCAAGTGCCCTCTCAATCCACTATCTTATCTTATCTAATCATACATGTGGGTCCTGGTATAGATGGTTTGCAGTCTGGAATCGCATGGATCCAACAATATCATACTATGTTAAAAAGATTTACAACTTAAAAAACAAGTTTAATATTAACTTATAATACTTAGCACCGTATTTACTTAATTATAACCTTATAAAGGCATTTATAAAAATGTTAAAGATATATATACGTTATTACGTACGTTACAAAGAGAGTTTGTTGGAACAGGCTTGAACGATCAATCATAATACTCGAGTATTGGGTCAAGGTTATGATGTTGCTGATGGTTGGTTTGGGAGGTCTAGCTGACTTGCAGGTCTGGCTAAGTGACCTCACAATTGTGACGGTCTGACCTCCTGGAAGTCTGTCAACCCATCAGGGTGGCCTGTGCGCAGCATCACATGACCTGGCGCACAAGACGTGTGGCCACAACTGTACTAGGCTAGGTAATAGTGGGGCGGATGGAAGGATCATTAATCCCATCAGAATTGGCTGGCGGGTCAGATCCTTCTTTCCCTCCCCACTAAGAGATTCTTACACGTAGGTAGTGCAATCAGGACTTTTATGTCCTCATCCTATTTACGCTTCGTGACAACAATCCAGTATCTAATCTCTTATCTAATAATACATGTGGGTTCTGTATGGATAGTTTGACTGTAAAATCACATGGACCCAACAGTTATAGAGATAATCTAATAATACTAGTATTAATATATTTTCATATATATTAATATGCATTTTACTTGTTATACTAATCGTTTATAAATAAATAAATCAATATTACTTATTATATACGTCGTTAATCAACGAAATAATCATTGAAATAAAAAGGTAGTGCTTATTAATTAAACGACGCTTTATATAAACTTTATTTACTTTAAACGAAGCTTAACACAACCTTTATTTACTTTAAACGAAGCTTAATACAACCTTTAATTTATATAACTTTACGAAAGGTTTTAGGTTAATTTGAAAGGTTTTTTTTTTTTTTTTAAATTGATTATAGACATAAACGAACATTTTTTCTTGTAAAGTACGGTATAAATGGTAAAAAGAAGCGATAGCATTTTAATAATTTCGTTATTATTAAAGAAATTTCTAATATTAATAACATTTTCGTAAAGCTTTTTGTTTAGTTTTTTATTAACATTTTTACTAGGCTTTTTATCAATATTTTCGTTAAGCTTTTTATTAATATCTTTATTCAACTTTTTGTTAAAGTCTTTTAAATGGTTTTTTATACGGTTTTTATAAGCTTTATTTATTTATTTATTTATTTACTTTTATAGTATATAATAACAGTCCTTTTAATTATAATAACTCGTTAAGTAATAACAACCGTATAAAAGCCGTTATTAAGCCCGATAATAACTTAGTTTTTAAGTTTATTTAAACATTATTAAACGTAAAGATAGTCTAAATTATTTATTAATAAACTTATTAATCGTTATTTAAATAAATAAAGACAACGTGTGTCACGGCGAGCGTACTGAGGAGCTGGGACATGGCCGGAAGCAAGCAGCTATTACGCTATTGACGAGAATATCAAGACTAGAAAGGAGAGGAAGAGAGAGAGAGAGATAGGTACAGTAGAAGGTTGCCCTTTTAAGGGGATCCTTTGGTCAGATCCTTCCCCTATTGGGAAGTATCTGCTTGTCATATGAGAAGGTCTGTGCAGGCCGTCACAACGTGCGATTTAATAATATTAAAAAAAATAAAGTAATTAACTTTTAATTGGTAACATAAAGCGTAAATACGTAAGTACCTTAAAAAGAAAGTTAATAATAGTAATAACGATACTAGTAAAAAATTGTTAATTTATTATTATTTTATATACTGATAAGAGCATTTTCATTTAATATATGTATTGTGAGAATATTGGTGCCTATCAGGTGTTTGCTGCAGCTGGCAGCAGGCTGAAAGGGGTGAAAGGGATCCAAAGGGGTTGAAAGGTCCATTGTAGTGACCACTGGCAGGTCTGTTGTCTGCTGTCAGGAGCCGGATATCAAAGGGCTCCCACAGCTGTATCTAGGTGGGAATCCCCCATGGATCCATAGTCAAGACACCGAACCAGATCCATCCCATCCTGACCCTATCTGAACCTGTTGGATAACAGGGGTCATAAAGATGAGCCGAGTCCGACCGGAAAAACCACGGTACGGCGGAGATGGCCAACACCAAACTGGAAACCGATCAGAGGCGCCTGAACAGAGAGAACGGACAGAAGACTCTACGATGCAATACACTAATAATCACCCTCCATTCACTGAACTCGCTTGAATCTAATGGAACCCCTGAACTTCGCAAGTATTTTAAAAATTAACGAAGATTTCAATAGTATCTATAACGTTAAAAGTTCAAAGGTTTAAAGTAGCGGCGTTTAAAGCTATTTAATATAAAAAATTATAAAAAAATATGATTAATAATAATGTCAGATTACCGAAGGTTGACAAGCCGGTGGTGTTGAGCAGTAGCTGCAATCGTTATTGTCATATTCAGGTCTGCCACATTGGGTGGCAGCTACAGCTATTTGGACACATCTGGTCATGCTGGAGTAGATGCTTCGGACCATCCTTTTCCGAGTTAGCGTACGAGTCAGGGTGCTAGTCATGGCAACCACCACATGTCATGTGACTAGTCAGGTGACTAGTCAGCAGCACACCACAGTGCCGCCCCGTGAATCCGACAAATAATAATAATTAGCTAGTAACGGCATATACGACGGCGTAGTTAACAAAGGTTAATTTAGCTGTTTAACAGAAAATCAAATTCTAGTAAGAAGAAGTAGGGATTTAAAGTGGGTCACTGACACTCTGATTGCAAACGGCAGTACCCGGGGCGGGCCGGCACTACCGGCATCCCCACCCCGAGATGTCATCCACATCCATGTGGGTGCACGGGAAACTTGAAGCCTGGCTGCTTCACTTCCATACTTAACAAGCCCAGCAGCAATTCGCGAATTATTTGACTAGACAATCGCAAGCACCCGACCACACACCATGCCCGGCTCGTCCCTCTGGCTCGTGCCGCCTCCGTCCCATCCGCTGCGCGACATCCTCTCCACGCTCATAAACATGACCCTGCCGGCCCGCTTCCCGGAGCTCACCCGCGTGTCCTTCTCCCCGCACGTGACGTTGACGTCCAACGTGCCGCCATCGCGGTATGGTGATAAGCCGCTGGACTGGCTCGACGCGGTGCCCTGGCCGTCGGCGGATGAGGTGAGGGTTTGTTTCGGGGATGTCAGGACGGAAGATGTGTTTTTTCGGCGGTGCTATGTGAAGGTTGGCTTTGAGGGCGTGAAGAAAGTTGCGGGGATTGGAAGGGCGTGCGGGGTGAGCGGGAAGGGGGAAGTTGGGAAGGAGACGGAGGCTTGGTTGCGGGAGTGGAGGGGGGCGTTTGGGCCGCATGGGAGTTTGATTTAGTGAGTTCGCCTGCGCCCCGGGTCGTGACTTATGACGGACGCGGTGCTGATGAGTTGCTAGTGGGGATGCTTCGATCGATGACCATACGCTCCAGGAGATCAGGGACGTCGTTCGGGAGGCGGGTGTTCGTCTTGATGGGCTGGGTTCTGGGGACCGGGAGGGGTTTGGGGGCTGGGAGGGTGGCGAGGTCTGGCTTGTGCCTACTGATAGACCTGTTGAGGGTTGGAAGCCTATCGCGGTGAAGACGCTTTGAGGGTTCGTGGCGAGATGGAGGGCGAGGGCGAGGGCGAGGGCGAGGGCGGCTGAGGTGGTGGCGGGGTATGATGGTATTCTCCCGTGGTCCATTTATGAGCCTGGTTTCCAGAAACTACATGCGCCTTCGCTCGTCTGCTCCATAGCATATTCTCCGGTGGGATGGTTTGCAACGTCTTGTGGTGTTCGGTTTCCAACGAGGCTGGCTCGAAGGGCCCGGGCATGACTTAACACTGGTTCAATTCCCAATTTCTTGATCCCGTCAAGGATCACCGGAATATCTTGCGGAACACCGAGAGTAGATGTGAGGAGTTAGCACCAAGCGACAACAGAGCAGTCTTATTCGAATTAGTATCAGAACCAAAGCGTTCACTCCATGGTTTGGTCAATCCTATTCACTTATCATTCTGTGAGGGAACTGCGTCTGCGCTGTCGCCACTACTTCCTCTTGGCCAGCACCGCCTTCAAGTCGTCCCGGAATCCCTGGATCCACGCCTCCTCACCTCGAGTTGGCTTCCAGCCCAGCTGCCGGCCGACGCTCGAAACAGTGCGTGAGTTGCTCGACAGTCCCAGCTCCAGCATCTCTTTTCCGAAGTTGAGAATCGATGCTCCCTCCGCCAGCCCGATGCTCTGCACCCGCTTATCTGCAAGCTTTCCTTCCTCGTAGCACGCGTCTGCCGCTCCTTGCGCTGCCTCCATCCACGAGTGTCTGCCGTTGCCACTGAAGATGATCCCCTTCTTCCCAGACGGCAAGCTTGCCCCGCCGTGGTCCAAGATGTCAACGACTGCGACCTCGTACAGCTCGGCTAGGTCTTCAACATGCACATGGTCCCAGACCCCCTTACCCCCCTCGACCACCACAGAGCGTCCATGGTCGAGCACGCTCAGAATATACGCCGGAACCTGGACGCTTGTCTTGTTAAACAGACCGGTGCCGATGCCGTAGATGGTCGGGCTCATGATGACCAGCGTCTTCACACCGAGGTCCAGCCCGGTGTCCACGACGGCCAGCTCGGCAGTGCGCTGGGCGTACGGGCGCAGCGCCTCGCGCTCCTTCTCGTAGCCGTAGATGTCGTCGCGCGCGTCGTCGAACTCGCGCTCGGGGTCCTTCTCCACCCACGCCTTGGTTATCGGCTGATCGGCCACGTTCGACGTCCCCGAGGTGTGGATCATCCACACGTCTCGTCCCCCCGTTGACGCCTTGCGCTGCGCTAGCCCTCGCAGCAGCGCCTGGCCTGAGGCGACGTGGTAACCCAGCGTCGTGTTGATGACGATGTCGCTCTGCGCGGCTGCGGCGGTCGTCGCCTCGAGGTCGTCTAAGTCCTTGTATATGACCGGGCGGACGCGATTGCCGTATTTAGATGACAGGACGGCGGCGCGGTCGGCGCCGCGGACGAGACACGTGATGACCGTTTGATTGAGTGCCGGTGAAGATGAGCTGAGCAGGTGGGTGAGGATCGTGCCGCCGACGAAGCCGGTGGCGCCGGTGAGCAGAATCTGGGGTGCTGTGTTGGGCGTCATGACGGCAATCACTGTGAGAGGGAATCAGGATCTGATGTTCGAGAACTGAAGAAGAAGCAGGAAGTCTAGGTAGGTTTTAAGGGGCTCGGCCTATATGTAGACGAGGGATGACGTGCACGTGCCCGGGGGTAACCGTCTTCCCGACTCGATTTATAAGCAACGAAGACACCGGATGAACCCATGAGGTGCTGAGCAAGCAGCATAGCATAGGTAACTCAACAGAAGCATTTTCTATACCCGCGTTGGTTTCTATTACGCCCTGTAGCCGCTCACCGCGCTTAGGTGAGTCGGACTTCTCGGCTTTTTGATCTCCAGATTCATCTCCTTGCAACCACGAGTCCGAGAGTCCGAGACATACCTGGGACGGGACATATCTGAGACGGGTGGGCGTATCTCTTTACGTAACGAGGCCTCGTTCATGTCAGAGCAAGCTTAATAGCTGCTTCGACATCGTATGTTCGACACGGCGTCTTGATGACAACATACCTCTCTCATTGGCTTGCCATAATCGGTGGTAATAGAGGGTTCAGTCGATCTCAGTCTCGGAACGATCCATCTCTCAATTTAGTTGGATATGCAACGTATACAAATGTATGCAGGCATCGTTTCAACCGATCTGCTAGAACTACCTATTTACCTGGTGAAGGCAGGCAGGCGCGAGAAGGTGCGAATCGAGTACCTCCAGGAGGAAGTCGCGACCCCGATGAGACTGCAGGTGGCCATTAGCTTCAAAGACTCGATCCTCCCGCACACGCTCCTCTCTTCTCGTAGCTTCATTCCATGTCATGACCACCATGAAGCCCTCAGCCATTGCTGGGGATCATGGTCCTCAAAAGAGCCTGGGCCCCCAACCCTGTGCAATCTGACCTCTCGAATCTCTCGAACCTCCCTTCTGACATGGAGCACACACTTCGTTGCAATGCACTCAAGTGTCGCAAAGAGCTGGGCGACCGCGCCCTTGTGACCACATGCAGGTGCGATACCTCCTTCAACCTTTTTCGCGCTCAGCCTTGACGTGTCTCAAACACCAGTCACATCTTCTGCCCCGACTGTGCCACTCGCCTCGGCTTGAATGGCCAGAGGCACGAGCATCGCAACGCGTGTCCAGCATGCGGCACTCACTTGAGCAACCCCGACGACGCTGTCATCACCAACCTCAACCCGAGCGAAGACTACAAGACAAGCGTGCTCAGCGGGCTCAGCCCGAACGTCATTATGGAATGCGCCACCCGAGCACTGAGCTTCTGGGCATACCAGACTACCCAAGAGGTCATCTATCAAGAGTACATGGGCAAGACACTGACCGACAAGTACTCGAACCTGAGCGTCCATCTAGACAAGGTCATCAACGACGCCAATGCTGAGATCACCAACTTGCACAACAAACTGTCCGGTGCGTCGCGAGTCTCCCCGCTGCATACATCGGTTGCTTACTAGTAACTAACTACATGCCGTTCAGGGATGAAGGTGGACCACGATGCCCTTCGAAAGAAGAACGACGAACTTGCACAGGCCTTCAAGGACAAGAACCGAAAACTGCTTCAGACCCAAGAACTGTACGACAAGCTCAAGAGGAAGGCCATGATGGGCCAAATCCAAGACGCTGCTGAAGACGCCGTGGACTCGAGTCTTCAAGGTACGTCGATGAGCGCACCCACCCCAGCAGACGGATATCCGAACACGAGTGACTTTCGAGAACATGCCATGTCGTATGGGCAACATCGTCCGGCACTCTACGCGCAGCAGCAGCAACAGACAGCAGCATATAATCATCAGCCAACAATGCAGTCTCATCTGGGCGCGTGGCCTAAGACGGTAGGCGCACAATGTGAGCTATTGCCCTGGTCTTTGGTTGAGACTCACCTAACATCATGCAGCTGACGTGCCCATCACCCCCTCCACCCATCGCCAGCGAGTTGGCGATCCAATTGGCATTGGACTATCAACTATCCCCGGCCTTGTATCAGGAACGCACAGATCTCCAACAAGTCAAACGAACTCGCGTGCGACGCTGGGTGATATTTCATCCAACAATTTGCGAAACACATCCAGATTCCCTTCTGTCGGTTTGAGCTCAGGCCTCAAAGTTGGTCAGGGAGGAGGCAATCCTAATGACTATATTGCCTCATCTCCAAGACCACGAGGCAAGTTCACGAGGCATTCAAATGTTGACAGTTCCCGATGCTAAGTCTCCGATAGCAGTTCAACGGCCTACGCCAATGTCAGGAACATTCAATCGAAGACCCACTGCGCATCAGCCAGATACTCTCTTAGGTGGTATCCGAAGTGGCATGCCGAGATAACCGCTGGTGACTGCTGAATGGCCTGGGGAAGTATGGGACTAGAGCCATTTCATTGTCATCTCTCAGGGCATATTGCCATTGTGCCTTACAAAGGAGGCTGGGCTTGATCTTGTGCTCGCACAAAGCTTCTCATTGTACCGTCACTCCGAAGACTGCTCTTTGTCAATTCCTTGGAGGGACAAGGTTATTATGGTGCTCCTTATCGCACCTTGCACTCCATTGTTCGAAATAACGCAGCGGAGGTGCGGTGGGTGCACGCAACGTATTCCGGTGTCTTTTGTCTTGTCTTGCACGTCTATATATTTGCTATTGGCAATGCTCCAACATTGCCATTTTCTCATTCTCCCATTCACCATCACCTTCAACTACTATAGTCTCGAGAATTTTCTTTGAGACACCCCATCAACACATTCATCACCCCTGACACTGTTGGGTTTTCTACATATCTTCATTTCGCAGAGGCAATGGCATCGAGACACCACCAGTCTAGACGCCTTAACCGCCCGAGTAGCGAAATGGAGAGAGCCACGACGAGACAGCACCGGCGCTCGCCCCCGAAGTTGACACAGGCTGTCGACTCTGGGGAGCCGGTCAGTCAGCGTGATGGAACTCGAGCCGGCCTGGGCCGATGGTTCGGTGAGAAGGTAAGCCCTATCAAGGGCAAGCGACAGAGTGAAGATGTCACGGTAAGGGATCGGGATGCCCAGCCTAAGCCGTCTCCTCGACGTCCTGCTAGACCCCCTATCAAGCAAAGTCCTGCGTCGTTCTCTCATTTCCCCGGGTTTAAAGAAGCACGCCCTCCGACGCCTCCCCCGAAGGACTACAGACCAACAGCCCCTCATGCCCCAAAACCTGTCGCCCTTCCGCTACCTCGCACTCCCCAGGTACCCATAAAGTCGCCAAGAATGAACCGTAAGAATCTTGGTCGACCTGGCGAGGCACTTGGATCGCACCCAGTCGCGCCTTGGCTTGATAGTATGGCACAAAGGATGCCAAGAATAATGCCTACCAAGCGCGAGCTCGTGCCGTCTGCGACCCGGGAGCACAATCGACGAGCGGTAGTCTACCCAGGAGAAGACATGTCCCACATCGTCATCAAAGAGCCTCGATTATCCTCTGAGCTTTTAGCTGAGCGTCGGCGAGGCCAGTATTTCTCCCAAGGTCAACCTAACTTCCACGAGTTCCCGGACCCAACGGCCTGGGAGGATGACGACGACGATGAAGACGAGGAGGAGTACGACGATGGGCAGTATTGGGAGGACGCCGGGTTCGACGACGAGCAGTCCGAGCCCGAGACTGAGGTATCGGAGCTCAAGGGCTCACCGGTCGCCAGGCCCGGCATTCCCGAGATATGGGTCTATCCGCCATCAGATGGCACGATCGAGCAGGGTAAGTCAGAAGGCCCCAGTCTCACCGCCGAACACGCCTACAAGCGCATCTGCGAGGAGCAGCAGCGCGAGCTCAGCCGCCTGAAGTGCTCTATGGAGGAGTTGGCGCCACTGGCATGGCTAATCATCGACGCGCAGAGAATCCTCCCCGGCGACGGCCGAGACCTCGCGACCGCCCTGAAGGACATCATCGAGGACAGCGAGAAGCTCGCCGAGCTGAGGCCTATGGCGACGGCGCTCGCTAGGGACCAGGGGTTGGAGCATGTCGGCTTCGGCGAGTATCTGCGCGGGCTGCAGAACGTGTTTGCTGACCGGGACGAGGCGAAGCGCGCTGCTGCGCGTCATAAGAAGATGAGATTGAGGGCGGAGCAGCACGTCCGGGACCTGCAGGACGGCATCAAGTTTTAGATGCGACACGACACGACACGACACGACACGACACGACACGACACGACACGACGCGATACGACGCGCCGCACCGAGCGACCAAGAGGAGGAACTTATATGTTCGGGCCAAGAGGATATTAACGGGAGGCTCAGTACACTAGGAGGCGACACACTGTTCGAGTTACTACCTACTCGAGTCGACAGCAGTGTGTCGCCCGCCGTGGGAATTATTATTGGGAGTGTGAATAATCCGGACGCAACTCCCCAGCAGCTCCCACGAGTACGCCTATACTTGTATACCTACATACCTATCTGAGAGCCTTCTCCTCCACCGAACCTCCTCTTCACATCTTGGTCTACCTCTATTTTACTCGGATCATCGCGATACTCTATATCTACCATACGGTTCAATACCGGCGGTAAGTCGACGACCCTCTACACCTGACTTGCCTTTCCTCTCTTCCTCCATCTACCTACTTGCCACCTCCCGAGAGACAAAGCCAGAGTGCATATCTCCGCTCAACCTTTTGTCTTGCCACCCGAAGGCTCTTTGTATCCGAAGCCTCGTACGGGTCAACAAAAATCCCTCTGTATCCTCTCCCATTCCAGTCGTCCGTGGGATCCCCATAGTGGAGACTATCGCTACACATATCCGTATCCAGGACTGGTATGTCAGTGGGTATCTGATCAGCCGGTCCATTGCCGCCTTACCCTCTTGAGTCGCGACAAGATCAATCCGAAAGTCCAACCTACCCTATTCCCGACTACCCCTATTCTAGTAGGCAGGCCCTACTTATCACCACCCTCCCGACTCCATCTCCATCCATTTCTCTCTACACATTACCATCATAACATAACGTATCGAGAGCCCCATATAGCTCCGCTACCACCCCCAATCTGCAACCTCACCGCACCTCCATACAGGTAGGCAACTCACTCACACCGCTCACCCCTCCTCTTACCATCAATCAACCAGTGCGCATTCTCTTCTCCACAGCCTGGGACCAACATATGTCTCCCAGCACTGGGTTACTCGTACTACTTTCTAATACCGAAAGCCAAATCTGCTCTTCCTGGCCAGTTGAGCGGCCATGGTGGACATCACACTCTTTCACATATTTTCTTTTTGTTGGTGGGGTTTTCAGATCTGATAATGGCGTCTATGTGGGGTTATGGGATCGGGGATTGGGATTAATATCTGCCTACTTATTAGTAGATTTAATAATTAGTGTAATCATAATGCTACTACTTCTGCTCTTGAATATTGTCTTAGTTTAGCTCCCTCTGGAAAAGAGATCACGGCCCGTCTCAGGCCCGTACTCTCTTATGTAAGAATGTATGGCATGGAAGCGAGGAGACTCTACCATCTTGGAGGACATAATTAAGTTGAGAACATGAGTGGGAAGGCTTCCCTATCCGGATTCATCCTCAGCATACTACAAGCCATACAAGCCTCAGCGACGCCAGCACCAACACCGCACGACACACCTCCCGCACAGCCGAATACCAGCCCTAGTGAGCACCAGCAGCAGCCAAACAGGCAGCGCAAAAAACCTAAGCAGATCCCAGACCATCTTCCTCACGCTGAAATGGCGGGGAAACACCACCGACGGGACAGGCCTGTACAGCAGCCCCGAAGCGTACGACAGCTCCTCCTCGGGAAACGTCCAGAGTAGATAGACGGTGCCGTGCATGAGGGCCTTCCAGGACAACCGGAAGAGCCTCCACAGAAGAACAGAGAGGAAGAAGAGCGGGAGGAGAAACTTGTTGTCGGTCATCAGTGCGGCTGACTTTGATGTGCCTGAGAGGAACACTTTGATACCCTCAAATGCACTGGTACCAGCCTTCTCGAGATATTTGATGCCCCCGGACGTGGTGCCTTTAAGGGACTGATGACCCTTTTCTCCGGGGGCCGGCCAACGGCGAAGTCGAGCTCCTGCCGGTTCATCTCGCTCCGCAAGAGCACGACCGTCACGAAGACGGTCACTACAAGCGCAACGGCCATAGTGACGAAGTAGGAGGCCAGGTCGGCGCTCGCGGGCAGCACGCTGATGCTGTAGACCGACTGTGGCAGCCTGTTAGCCGGAAGCCTGAATAAGGAATCGGAATTTGGGTTGTGGGTGTTGGATTTCGACTTGACCTGCTTCGCTACGGAACGAACTCACCGTGATCAGACTGAGCGGTAGGTACGCCACACTCAGATACGTCAGCGTCTTGATCCGATCGCCCTGCATGACGGCGATGCGGCTCTCCAGCAGCGCGGTAGCGCCGTGCAGCGCGTCACGCAGCTCGCGGACCTGCTCCCGGAAGGCATTGACCTCCAACCGCGCGCGCTCAAGCTCGCCAATCTCCTCCCGCAGGCGCGCACGCCAGTGGTCCAGGCCGGGCGCCTCTGATGCCTGCGCCCTCGCCGCCAGCGCCGGGAGCCTGTCGGCCCTGAACTCGCGTAGGAAGGCGAGCGAGGCGTCGATGGTGGCCGCCAGGCGGTGGCAGGTGGCGATAAGGGCGTGGTACGTGCGGCTCTTGCCGAAGCGGCGGTCGTCGAAGAGCGTGCCGTTGTCGGCGGCGGCCAGGCGCGTCTTCAGGGACGCGAGGATCGGCCGCAGATTTTGGCGCTGGGCGGTGATGGCGCTGACGACGCCACGCAGGAATTGCGACAGCGGGGTCTGCGTGTTGGACGGGTTGCGGAGGGAGCCGGTGGCGAGGCGCCAGGAGCCGTTGACGATGAGGACGGTCCAGAGGCATTGTGGGTTGGAGAGGAGGCCATAGGCTTCTTCGCGAGAAGGTTGCTCCTCGGGGAGGACGAGTGTGAGGAGGACGGAAGAGGCGGCTTTGAAGAGGCGAGGATTAGACCCAGAGGGGCTGTCTGGGTCTTCAAAGTCTACTTGTGTGTCGACAACCTCGATGGAGTCCCGGTCGATGATCTCTGAGTCGCCACCTGAGAAGTGGCTGGTTCCTAGTAGTAGGTGAGGGAGGTGAAACGACAGGGTCAACCTCTTGTAACATTTCTAGTAGAGTTCTTAGTATATCTTGTCCAAGTGTCGCAATAAGGGGTAGGAGAGTTACTGCGTCTTGCTCATTTGATGGAGAAGTCTCCTGCAGTATGTATGGCTCTTTGAAGAGATGCTCAAGCATCAGATGCCTCTGTACAAAGTTGCGTACGAAGGTGAAGTCCTCGTCCAAGAGTCGTAGACAGAATGCCTGGATCATAAGCAGTGTTGCCCTCCGCAAATAGTTGATCTGCTCCTTGATCTCCCTGGGCGCCGTTTTAGTCCTCATCTTGTCATTTCAAAATATCACGTGCCGTTTCCATTCAACTCACACGATACGACCATGGGAGAGACCTCCACCATTTTCGTCAATTGTCTACGCCTTCGTCAGCGGTCGAATTATTACCAGGTAGGACATCCCTGCGGCGCCTCGTACCCTCTCGTGTAGTCGTGGGAACAGCTGGCGAACAGTGTCCGACACTGCCATGGGCAGCGTCTGGCTCACATCAGAGCCACCAGCCCGTATCACTTCCCGAATCAGGTTGAAATTGACCATATGATCAGCTTTATCGAGTCCGCTCCTCGCCATCTCGGCCTTAGCAAATATGGCCAGTTTCCTGACCGGATCCGGGGCGAATTGGTCATCCCAATCATGGAGGTTATCGTGCGTGACTAGGCTTTCGACTACAAGGTCTAGGTATTGCTTGATGCTATCGCTGCTCAAAATGTCGTAATGGAAAGGAGATTCCGGGAAGACTATGGTTGGAGTGGGAGTCGTGACATGGGCTATGGGCTGATGCCCGTCTTGGGGCCAGTGAGGTGTTGAGAAGGATGCTTGACTGGTCATGGTTGGAGGTCCTCGCTGGATCGTGATGGTTCATATCATATAGCCACGTTCCTAAGATTCGATGCTTGAGAACCACCTTTGGTTGTGAAAACTATTGCACCGCAGCCTTGCAGCCCTCGACGCAAGCAAGTGGTTGGGCATCGCCAGCCTGCAAGAGCTGAGCAAGGCTGCCATCGATGCATGTGCAGGGGTATCATGTGATACAATTTTGCCCGGATGTGCTGCTGACGTTGCGGCTGAGTCTCTGATGCTACACATGCAATCGACCAAGGTGCGTGTCTCTTAATATGACAGGCTATTGATTCGTGTCCATGGAGAAGCAGCCCCGAAAAGGCAGAACATCGATGCGGTGAAGACGGGTTGTTGGATTAATAGCGCCAGAGAGTGAAAAGCGTGCCGTGATGACTACACGTGGTTATCAGACCTACCTGTTCATTAGCATACGATTCATTCAGCTCTCAGAACGGCACATTCAGCTCTCAGGACGGCGCGCTGTGTGAACTAAGACATCGCTTGTCCAGGTGATGGATACTCTCTTTCGGCGCAGATAAGTTTGAACATCCGCAGTTGGATTTTCATCACTTCAAATGACATGCCCGGATGACTGCCCGCCACAAAGCCTCAAGGGGTCCTGCTGGTGTGCTTTGTACGGGCTGCCAGGTACAGCCAAAAAGTTGTAAAGTCTTGGCTTTCCATATCTGGCGAATCTGAGTTGTTGAAGGGTGTAGCACTAGCTAGGGTTCTGGAAGAATTGACAGGAAACGGCGACGCTTGACGGCGATCATCGATCGTCAACGGCGGCAGTTCTTGGAATATGTAATCCCAACCAATGCCATAAAGTGTATGGGACTGCACCTGGGCTCGTGTTGGTTGGTGCCGAGCGGTGCTATCGCTGCACTACGTTTCATGGAGCCGGGTTAAGCGTGTCCATCTGCGGACGGCGCCGAAGTTGGCTGTTTTGAGCATCTTCATCGGACCCTGCTAGTCCTGCCAGCCACCCGAGAGGCTCCACGAACTATCGTGGTGGACAATCAGTTGTCTGGCTAACCTGCCGGGAGGGAAGCTTTATCTGAGACGGTGTGACGGTCTACAAGCGACGGAGATTGGTGTTCGTTTCTGCGATAGAAACCTCCATGAAGAATACGTCGTAGCTTAAAGGTAAAAATGGGCATACTGTACCCGACGGCTGACTGGTACGTCATTCGTTCGTCCCGTCTGTGACTCTGTCCCGTGTTCTTGATGATCAATGATAGGTATCCTCAGACCCGCTCGGTTCGGTCGATTGATCGTGGGGCGAATGATTTCCTTGGAAACCGCCAGGAAACCGCTGGTTTGGCCGGGACGACAAGGGCTTGGTGCATGAAGAATGGACAACGGAAATGGAGAGGTTATGTAGGGTAACCACAATGCGTTAGGAACAGATGGTTATCTCGACAGATTATTACTAGTGGCACATGTTGTCACCTCAGTCGGGCCGGATCTTGGCAACAGTGCAACGCTGGCATCGCACACCATGAAGATGGACATCTCGACGGCAGGACGGGGCAGGGCGTTTGTTTGTTTGAAACGACTAACGAGGAGCACCATCTCCCGTTAGCCCGTATAGGTAGGCTGGGGGCACCATTCGACTCGGTAATCTGAGCTGCAGCGATAAATGAGAGAACAAAAGGAGCATTCGCTGATTCAACCAGATCGGATTCAGTCAGTTGCAGTATCGGGATCTGGATTGCAGGAATGGCGACGACACCAGCAGTAAGGTATTGTCGTAATCTGTCCTTATCTAATCTGGTCGGCCGTTGATGCAGGGGTACGTAGTCACTGTCGCGTCGTCCCGTCTCACACGGTGCTGGCTCCGTACAGGTACTGACAACGATGGGGTCCCATTGGCCCAAAGCCCTGGCCAGGCCTTCAATGTCCCACCTGGGCATTCATCAGCTTCCGCCACAGAGGCTAGAGTAGCCCTGCAGCAGCACATGCATTGACCTCCAGCTAGAGGGCAAGAAGCCAAGCCCTCGCTGGATCCCCCATCCTTCAACATTCGCAGTCTCTGGTCTTTCAGGCTTGCTCCGATCCATCCATTCTACTATTACCACGATACCGGTACGCCTCTCGTTTGATCTAGTTGATCTGATGTCTTGACGCTTGGAAACTCTATTGCCGTCGTTCGTTGCCTGTCTGGAAGTCTTTCCCATTCTCTCCCTTCGCTAAACCCATTTACACTTTGAACCGGACGCGTAATCATTGATCCAAACCCCCTTGGGCCAGCCATATTGTCACCACGGGCATAGTGTCACGCCACAACCACGCAGCGACGAAACCGAACACCCTGTTCTCGGGCTATCACGTCACCCTGCTCTCCTTGCCTTCGCCGAACCTTACCTGTCACAATAGAAAGGACACCAGGCGAGAAAGGCATGTTGCGACTGACATTGGCGCCATCGTCGACATCGTCTCGTCAATTGTGCATTCCGAAACTACCTGCCACCTTCCGTTACTTGCCACTTCAGCGGCCATGGGGAAGAAATGTAAGCATTGCCTGACTCGGGAAGCTCTGCGACACCACTAATGATGGTCTCCTATTCAGGGCGCTATGGAATCATGCTGGACGCTGGGTCCTCGGGCACACGTCTACACATCTATCGCTGGCAAGATCCTGCCAAAGTACTGAAGCATGCGTCATTGGAGGAACTGAGTAGTCTACCAAAAATCGAGAACAGCTATACCAAGAAGACACGACCAGGAATATCCACCTTTGGCGACCACCCCGAAGACGTTGGCCCGGAACACCTCGAGGAACTGATCGAGAAGGCCATGAAGAAGATCCCCGACGCAAAACATGCCGACACTCCAATATACCTGATGGCTACTGCCGGCATGCGCCTGCTAAGTCCTACCCAGCAGCGCGCCTTGCTGACTGAAGTCTGCTCTTACTTCCGACAACACACGCGATTCTCTCTTCCAGATTGCGATGCCCATATCCAAGTCATTCCGGGCGAGACGGAAGGCTTGTATGGGTGGATAGCGGCCAACTATCTATTGGGAGGTTTCGACAACCCCGAGGGACACGCGCATGGAAAGAACCATCACACGTATGGTTTCCTCGACATGGGCGGTGCTTCGGCGCAAATTGCTTTCGCCCCGAACACCACCGTGGCAGAAGAACATGGGAACGATCTAAAGTTGCTTCGGTTGCGGACCATGAACGGCCAATCTCTCGAGTACAAAGTATTTTCCTCTACATGGCTCGGGTTTGGAGTCAACCAGGCTCGTGCGCGCTACGTGGAGCACTTGATCGACGGGGTCCTGATCGATGGTGAACATGAAGTGCCCGATCCTTGCTTGCCGAGGGGTTTGCGCACGACAGAGAAGGGCGAAATGATTGAGGGCGTCTCAAAGGACCTGCAATTAGTGGGGACCGGCGAGTTTGACGAATGTTTACGCACAACGAAACCACTCCTCGGCAAGGACATGCCCTGTGACGACGAGCCGTGTCTGCTTAATGGCCAACACGTCCCGCCGATCGACTTCGATGTGAACCACTTTGTCGGTGTTTCCGAGTACTGGCACACGACCCACGGGGTATTCGCCACCAAAGATGATGACAAGGCCTACGACTTCAATACATATCAGAAAAAGGTACTGGAGTTCTGCAGCCAACCATGGGATGCCATGGAATCGACGATTGAGACGCGGAAAAACAAGAAGAATCCCTTTAGGGAAGCTCAAGAAGCATGCTTCAAGGCATCTTGGCTGATTAATGTCTTGCACGATGGTATCGGGGTACCGAGAGTTGGCATAGAGGATACACCGACGCCCGGGATCAACGTCACAAAGGCTATTGGCGACGCCGCCAAGGAGAAGGGGTTCTTGAGTCCCTTTCAAGCGGCGGACGAGATTGGCGACATCGAGATCAGTTGGACGTTAGGAAAGATGGTTATCTATGCCGCTGGCCAAGTACCGCCAGAAGACGACTTCGTTCTGCCTGTCGGGTATGGAAGCAACGTGAAAGGAGTACCCGGGGATTTCCAGCACGCAGGATCGAATTACAACGCGACCTTGGCGGAAGACTACGAGAACGACTGGGGCGACACTGCTGAGGATCTAATAGACAACGCCAAGGCAAAGTCGACGTCCGGATTCTTTTTCTTTATATTCATCATAATCCTCCTCGCTTTCATATTTAGAAAGAGGGATCGACGCATGCGTCTGTATACTCGTATAAACCACATGCTCCGTCGGCACCACAAACCAGGCAGCCCTCGGAAAGGTGGACGCGGTTTCTCGGCTCTCACGAACAAGCTTTTCGGCCGGACGCACCACTACGAGCGGGTCATGGAGGAAGGTGATATTGGCGAATTCGAGCTGGGTGATGTTACATCAGATGACGACCACTCCGACAGCAGCGCAGGTTCCCGCGTCGGGCGGACATCAGGGCTCGCAACACCCAAGATGCGCGTGGAGTCTTTCGATGACCTGAAGAAGCCAAAGCAACCGAACAATGCCATCGACCGAAGCGGACTGATGATTCGCACGGAGAGCCGCGAAAGACTCGTGCCGCAGATGCTCACCGCTGGTAGAAGAAGCCGAGCCGGCAGTCCCACGAGACTCAAAAGTCCGCTGTTGAGCCCGCTGTCCGAGGACTAGAGATGTCCCTTGGTTTTTATTTTTTTTATTTTCTTTGAGTGAACAATCACTTCGTACCGTTCACCTGCATACCATTTCTAAAGATCATCGCTTGGAGTTGGAGGGGAAGAATCGGGCTGGAGTACATGGATGATCGAAAGGGATCAAAGCTCACTTGAGCAACGGTGTCACGAGTTAGGCTTTGAGACTTCGATGTCTTCTCCACGAGGATGACCTGCATTCATGAGGCCATATCAGATGACCCTTCGTGGTCACGGATAAATGAAGAGATACCACTTGACTGGACTTTAATCATGGACCCTTGCTATATCTCTACCGTGATACAGGCACCCCGCGAAAAGCTTCTCATATTTGATCATGTCTGGCAGGCATGAGCAGACATCAAGTGTTTATGTCAAGCTTGGAGACTTGAACAGATAGTCTTCCACGCGGCCCTTCCATAGATTCAAGAGACTCTTCGAGTCGCCTCCTGGCCTTATTGACCCTCGAGACATAACTACTTCCTCCATGGTATCAAATATTCGGAACCCCATCCAGACAGCCCGCCCCCTTTTTCCCTCCCCAAATACCCATGCCCAATGGTGTCAGCCCCTGCTCCTCGCCAACCTCACCGATGAACAGTATCAAAATAGGCCGTACCCCATCCCCCCTAAATCAAAAGCACCACCACCACGATCCACCCACTCTCAGTCCTGCTCCCTCTCGAGGAAGCTCGGGTCGACCTTGACCTTGTTCTCGAACTTGCGCCACCACTCCTGGAAGGCCTTGAGCGGCACCACCTCGACGCCGCCCTGGACCTGCCCGCTGAACCCCGACAGGAAGTTGAAGGCGTTCTGGATTATGCGCTGCGCGAGGACTTGTGACGATGGGGGCGGCTGCTTGCCTCCCGTATTTGCGGCGCCCTCCTGCTGTTGTGACTGTGATTGCGATTGTTGGTTCTGAAGCTCCTGTATCCTTGCCGCCACGCCCGCAGCCTCCTCGACACTAATCCCGATCACCACACCCCCTTCACCTCCTGCACCATCTCCCCCCCCTCCCACCACCGCACCCCCCAGCTTGAACATCGCGCTCTCCTTCCCCCGGCCCCACGCCCCCGAGGAACCGGAACCCGGCGTCGCCGCCCGAAGCCAGCGCGCCCGGGTTCTGCGCCACGTAGATGGCCGCTGCCGTGTTGGGCGGCAGCGTTATGTTCGGCAGCAGGAAGACGGCGAGGTGCGCGAAGGGCTTCGGGTTCGTGGGGGTCGATTGGGGGATTGCGTACAGGAAGGATGTCGGGGAGGGTTGCGAGGACGGGGTTGTTATGAGGGGTTGGCCGGCGGGGAGGAGGCCGAAGAGCGGTTGGGGGGCGGCCATTTGGGGGTTGTTGTAGCTGTGGTGTCGTTCGGCGGATTCGTTTGGGTGATGCGCTTGGTGTGCTGAAGCTTTGGCGTGTTGAGCTCGTGCCGTGGTTTGTTGTAGAAACTTTAGATACTGCAATTATGATCGGTTCTCGACGTTGGAGGAGAGCAGGTTGATTAATGTAATAGATCTCTTTCCGCCAGAAGCCGCGAAGGCTAGATCATGAGTGAGTCTACCGCATTGTCATGTCATACACGGAAGTGGAGGAGAGGTGAGCTGAGCGTAGGAGCTCGAAGTTTCGAAGCTTCCATGCATGCTTCGGTGTCACGTCACCGCTTGGGAATGGAGGGGCAGGCTGCAGAAAAAGGTTTCCGCGACGGCAGGATGGATCTGCCCCACCACATACATGCGCCTCCAAAGTCGCGGACAGATAGGGGTAATTATCCCAGCCGATTACCCCTTACCAGGTTGACGAGGCTGATGGTGAGAACACACAGATATGTTCAAGTGCTTACACGCCTTCAACAGTCTCGAAGCTCCAGTAAAGTTACAAGCTTTTTTTGGAAGCAAGTTTCAAAGATTCTTCAGTACCTCCGCGCTCTTCCACTTTGTGCGGTTGGAACCAGGTCAATTTCTACAGCGCCAGGGACAACCCTCATTCTTGAACACCAGCAGACGGCCCTGCCAGACTCACATCAGGAGGTCGACTTCCGCGACTTCGCAAACCTGTCGTGTGCAGAGCGACAGTATACCAGACACCTTTCAGTCCAACCGCTCCCCTTCAACACCAAACCCCACGGAATCTGCTGTTCCCGTGTCAGACATCCACAAGACTCTACGACAGCTCAGAAGATCTCAAGTCCCACAACTCCCATCAGATCCTTCAGCCAAGATGCCGCCGCCCATGAGCAACCTAGACATCATCAAGGCAGCAGATGCGTACGTCAACCTCCCGTCCACTCTCACGACCCAGCTCATATTAACACACATCCCAGCTTCCCCTACGAAGCACAAGAGCCAGAGGCCCACACAGCCCTCACAGGCACGCTCTACACTGTAACCGGGCAGGCCGGGCAGCCCCTGGGCTACATGCTCGCCCCAGCCGTATCAAAGCTCCTCGCCGTCCCAGAGCACATCCGCGGCCCCGTGACAGTCGACGAGCAGCGCCGCACCGTCCACGCCTTCGAGCAGGCCACCGAGGCGGCGCGCACGCAGGCGGTCGGCGCCGTCATGGCCCACTGGCGCGAGAACAGGACCTTTGCCGCGCTGAGCGGCTGGCGCGACGAGCTGTGGCCTGTGTACGGTACGGACAGGGAGGTGCTGTATAGCGCCGAGCGCAGCGGGACGGGGACTTTGGGTGTGATGCGGTATGGGGTGCACATGACGGCGTATGTACCGGACAGCAATGCTAGTCACGGGCTGCGGATCTGGGTCCCGCGGCGCGCGGCGAACAAGTCGACGTACGCGGGTATGCTGGACAACAGCGTGGCAGGGGGCCTGATGACGGGGGAAGACCCCTTCGAGTGCATGGTGCGCGAGGCGGACGAAGAAGCAAGCTTGCCCGAGGCGGTAATGCGCGAGCGCTGTCGGTTCACGGGCATGGTCACGTACATCTACATCACGGACGAGCGGTCTGGCGGCGAGGCAGGGCAGATATACCCCGAGACACAGTGGGTATATGATATCGAGCTACCGGCCGACGTGGTGCCCACGCCGAAAGACGGCGAGGTCGCCGAGTTCTACCTGTGGACTGTCGAGGAGGTGCGGCAGGGGCTGGCCGCGGGCGCGTTCAAGCCCAACTGCGCGCTCATCATGCTGGACTTTTTCGTCCGCCACCGCATCCTGACGCCTGAGAACGAACCGCATTACGACGAGATCGTCCGGCGCATGCATCGGAAACTCTCCTTCCCTGGCCCGCACCAAGCGGCTGTCGCCTCCTCCTGAAACCGACACGCTCTTCAGTCAGATCCCTCGAGATCTCTCGTATTGAACATATTAGATAGCCAGATGCGGACATATCTTTGACCCGGCGATGAACCCTCTCAATAGAATGGCGCACCAATGCGCTCTGATACCCAACACATATAGCCTGCGAAGCCTCCCCCCTTGGTGCTCTATTCCCCTTCTTGCCCCTCCTACCCGCTCGTGATCGTCGTGAAGTCGTGGATGGGCGTGATGTCTATGACCGAATAGCTAGATCATTTCTTGACCAGGAGGTAGGTGTTGTCGACGCGCAGCGGGGTCAGTTTCTTATACGGACCCTCGAGCATCATCAACAGGCCACCGTAAGAGATGTAGGCGCGACTGCGTTATCCAGGGTCAGTCTCGATATCCCATCCTCACGAATATACGTTCCAGCGCAAGCCAGCCAGACGGACCGTAGAGAACAAAGAAAAACTCACATAGTCTCCCCCTCGGAACCGTCCTCAAAGTTGTAGATCTTGCCGTGGCACACGTAGTCGTACATGTCAGCGAGCGAGGACTCGCCGCGGACGTCCTTCCAGCCGCGCTCCTCCTCGTCGTCCTTGTTGCCGTCAAGCGACAGGCTGGTCGACAGCACGACCTGCAGCGTCTCGCCCACGCGGCACGGGAACAGCTCGATGTTGATGTCCAGCTTCATCTCCGTCTGGGAGTCGGCCGACGTGCAGGTGATCCGCGCCACGCGATCGTACTTGCTTTGGTCGTAGTCGGTCACTGTGAAGGTGTCCTCGAAGAGCTGCGCGTCGCCGGCGTGGTTCGACATGGTGGGCTACGGGCTGCGCTTTGTTCCGCGGGGTTTGGAGGGTCGTCGAGCCGGAGAAAGGAGGTATTGATCTCTATGCGGCTGTGAGATTGCTTGTTGAGTTGAATGCTTCGATGTATAGGTACCGAATGAATTGCAACTTTGTCAAAGCTTGTCGGTGGTGGATGGAATTTTTTGATCTGCAATTCGAGCTGCAGGTGGAATTTGGGCCGTTACTGCGGGGAGCTGAAAGCGGTGAAGCCCTGTAGTTGCAGGGCTTTGAGGCTCTGCTGCGCTAGACAGACACTGCAGGTGCCGGACAGCGGCAACATCGATTGGTCGCAGCCCTGATTGATCATTGGGTTTGCTCAGTCAATTCTTTGGTGCGACTATTGATCCACTTTACATATATTTGTCGCCCTGCTGTGCAGTAACACCCCCCCTCATTCCCTCATTTACTTGATGTTCGTGGTGTGGTGTCTTCGAATCTGAGTGATTAGACGATGTCTTTCAGAAAAAGAAGCGCTGTCATAAGCAGCTCGGCTTCCACTCAGTCAACGGCTTCGAAATCCGAGGCTGCCTCCATTCCTGGAGTTCGACCTTCTCCTCTGGATGGTCGGCCAACCACTTCTACGGGAACGGCCTCTCTGGACAACTTACTGGCTGGCCACTCCGGTCTACCGCTGGGAACCTCTCTTCTTATTGGAGAGCATGGCACAACTGACTTTGCTGGAATTCTACTCCGTTACTACGTTGCCGAAGGCCTTGTCCAAGGGCACCAAATCCATGCCCTGGGCTTACATGAAGGCTGGCGAGCTGAGTTGCCAGGACTGTCAAGCGATGTCAAGTCGGCAACCAAGTCCGAAACAGGGTCTAGTGACAAGATGAAGATTGCCTGGAGATACGAGAGTCTGGGATCAGTGGGTGCACCAAGAGGTATGCTGTGAGTTCCTCCTCCGTGGCAACTCGATGGTTATCTAACGAGTGCATTAGACAGGGATGCTCAGCAGAGACAGAGTAGCTCCGCTACAGGACCTAGCACTACCTTTTGTCATTCATTTGATCTTACCAAGAGGCTCGTTGCTGGTGATGTGAAGGGCCAAATTGGCTTCCATCCAACAATGATGATCCCAAGCCCGGGGCGACGACCCAACGAGACCTCATCACCTTTCAAGCTCTTCATCAAGGATCTATCCTCGAAACTGGCAAGTTCACCGCCGTCAGGGGTTCACCGAGTCATAGTCTCAGGCCTGCTCTCGCCGACCATGTACGCCAGCTCGTCTTGTCGCCCTCAAGAGGTTCTGCAGTTTCTCCATGCGTTAAGGGCCTTACTGAGGCAGTATCCAAAACAACTGACTGTCATACTGACCCTGCCTCTGTCACTATACCCACGGACTACTGGGTTTACTAGATGGATGGAGCTCCTGTGTGACGGTGTGCTCGAGTTCATTCCGCTTCAATCAAGCTCTATCCATGCACCTCCTCCATCGGCGAAGTCAGACTCCAAATCCGAAGAGCAGATTCAGGGCCTTATCAAGGTGCACAGTCTGCCGGTGTACCACGAGAAGGGTGGTGGCTCCCATTCATCGCACGACGACCAATCGTTCAGCTTGAGCCGGTCGAAGGGTCTGATTATCAAGCCATTCTATCTGCCTCCTGCCGACGACGGCGAACCGGAACAGAAGAAACAGGGCGATTCCGAGAAAGCCAACATGGAATTCTGAGAGCTTTGGAAGCAAATAGTACGGCGAATAGGGGGTGGGCGATCTATGATTCCAGGGGCCGAATTTACTGCTTATCGGATACTGGTATCAGGCCCCACCAACCCACCCTAAAATTTTATTTCCATTTTCTCCAAATCGCACCCAGCTCAACATTCTCCCAGTCTTCAACTACAGACAAGCAGCAGGTAAGTCCAAGCAATTATCCACTTACCACTCGACGAATGATTACACAAATCCATATCTGTCAATCCTCTGAACACAACATGTTGATACCTTTTTCATTGGAATATGATCGTCCAATCATCCCACAATTCCTTCCACGCAAACTTCAGCAAGACTCGAGACTGACTCACGAGAAGACAGGAACTGAATCTGCTGCGAGACCGTGACAATGACCTCCTCTACGAGCCATGCTCCCTTGAGGATCTCCAAGCTCGCTGGCCGGTATCTGATCTTCGACATAGACGACGTGATGTACCTGCGTAGGAACCACAACATGTGCTCAGTCTTCACGGGGACCACGCCGCAGAACCCCCAGCAGAACGTCTTCATGGGCTTGCCTCTGGAGCTGATGCCAGAAGAGGTCAAGGTACTGGTCGATAAGCACGTAGCGTATGTAGCTGACGACGCGGCATTCCACCCAGCTCGACTCGCGTCGCTCGACGCGCCGTCCCGACAGGCCTACCTGCAAACGCTTAAGGACGAGGGCAGAGCGGCATATCAGGAGTTCGTGGACCAGCAACGGAGGAAACCCAAGCCATCACAAGTAAAAGCAAAGAACAAGAAGTCGGAGCCCTCGTCTAGCACGGAATCCCCTCGAAAGGGCACCGAAGACGAGGAGGAGGCCAGTCTCTTCGATTCGTCCCCCGCGCCCACACCAGCAGACCCAACTCCCAAACCAGAAGCAGAGCCCGAGGGCTACGCAGTGACTCACACGACCAGCAGCCTCCTACTAACCCAGCAACCACCACATCAACAACCCATCACCAGCCCCATACCCAGCCCAGCTATCGAAGTCCCGGCCTCCTATCCGCTGTACGCCCATCTCCAACACAAGGGCTACTACATGATGCCCGGCCTGCGGTTCGGCTGCGACTACAACGTGTACCCCGGCGACCCGCTGCGCTTCCACAGCCACTTCCAGGCCACGCATCACGGCTGGGAGGAGGAGATCACAATGCTTGACATCGTGGCCGGAGGCCGGCTGGGCACTGGTGTGAAGAAGGGGTACTTGCTGGGCGGAGCCGTGTCTGAGACTCATACGGAGCATATTGATGGCAATGACACAGGCAGGGGTGTGGATATCACTGCCAGCCACGGCAAAGGCGGTGATGGCACAATACCGCATGTACGAACCTTCTGCATAGAGTGGGCGGGGATGTAGACTCCTCGGTTCAGCATTGCCAGTCGGTCGTCTTTACACTGTTCTCTAGCGAACATGCAAGCAATACATAACATACAACGCTACAATAGTTTCATGACAAGCAACCTTCCAAATGCGACTGTGGCTCGCTCCGTCGTGACTAGAAAGCCAGAACTCCAAACCTTGCTTGCTTTGTGGTCATTCCTCCCAAATCAAAACCCGTAAGAATGCCAGCCCAATGGTGTGAATCTTGCTGTCCTGCAATTTATGCCCAGTCCATGCTCTAATGGAGTCGAATGCCTCTGTGCTTGCTTGCGCCATGTCCACGTTCATCTTCATCTTCATACATCACTCAATTCCGAACCAACCAATATCGACAGAAGAAGAGGGAGGGCAATGGGACGAGAAAGGTTTATGTTTCTTTGGCCCTGGCACGCCACTCGTATTTGGAACGACGGCCGGAGAGACGAGGCGCTCACGGCACGTAGATCCGACTGAAGCTAATAACCTCACGACGGCAGCACACGCACTTGTCGAAGTTGTTCATTGCGAGCGTGACCCGGCACTCGTCGCAAAGGCTCAGACAGCGGCACGGCCACACAATGATCTTACGCGGCGCCGAGTGGCACACGACACATTGCGGCCCGTCGTCGTTACCGTTTGGCAGGGCTGCGTTGGCGACCTCGTTGCGCCGAGCGATCATCAGTTGCTCGAGAAGCTTAGCCTCCTCGTCATCGGAGAGCTTTCTGTTTCCACTAGCGTACTGCGCGGCGTGGCGACGGCGACTGTCGGCGCCCGTTGTGAGGAGTCGGCCGCGCTCGTTGTGCTGCATGCGGGCGAATTGCGCGCGTGTCACGATGCGGTCGCTGGTGAGATGCGCAGCGAGGGTGTGTGCCTGGCGCGTGTCGTCCGGGCTCGTTGGATGTAGAAGGCGCGCAAGGTCTTTCATATCGATCAGCTGGTCGAGAGGCGTCGTTTCGCGTGAGAAGCTGAAAGAGCCCTGCGTCGGTGTCCGTTGACCCTCAGCTTCGCTTTTGTCGTCTTTGTCTATCCAACGATCCCGCTCTTCCAGGTCGTTATCTCCGACTACGCTGTGAATCATACTCGTCGTGTCCCACTCATCGTCACTGTCGTTGGGCTCCCAGTCGCCGCTTGTGTCAACTGTGCCCCAAAGCCCTTCATGTTTCCACGAATCATACAGACGTGTGTCCAGTTCTTTCTCGGCAATATTGGCCGTATCGGGAGATCGCTCCAGACGTCGTCGCACCTCGGCTTCCACGTCTACGTTCTCGTCATTAAGGAGCATCGCATACCTGCCATGTCTGCCAAGTCTGGCACGCGTCTTCGAGTCGGTGCCCGATTGCTTCTCGTCGGGTTCGCCCTGCACAGGCCCGCGTGAGAGGTACACCAGAAACGAGGGTCTCCGAGTTATGCCAATCCGAGCAAGACCCTTAAGCATTATGAATGCGCTCCACCGCAGAAGTAACCGGTTGATATTCATCAGGAACTCCAGAGCTAGGAGCCACCGCGAACTACGCTCAGCAGCACCAACACCGTCTCTGGATCTTCTGTCTCCAACACGGGACTTCGGTACGCTCTGTGCAGCTCGCTCACGCGCATACCCAGTCGATGCGCCTATCTGGTCGTCCTTGATGGGCACCATTCCGATCGTTCCTACCGAGTCGTAACGCGAAGCTCCTAATCCGGAAGCCCATTGCGTGCGCAGTGACTCCAGTTCACGGTATCGTTCCTCCTCAAGCCACGTGTGACGCTTTAGGTTGACATTACGGTCTTCGTTGAGGTACACGGCCTCACTTGCCATCGTTATGACTCCAAAGCCGGTTCTCAGCAGAGCGGTGTAAAAGTCCAAGGCACGCGAAATGCGAATGTCAGCCAGCGAGACATTGGCTTGCATGTTCTCGTGTGCTCGAAGTACTCGCTCGCTGAAAGTCAACGGCAGTCCATCATTCTGTGAGTCCGGGGGCTCCAGGGCAGCCAGGACTAATGCAAGTGAGTATATCGTGAAACAGACCATGATACCTGCCAACACCATGACGTGAGGTATGAAGCCTATGATGCAGACGGTTGGGAACCGGAAAAGTCCCATGTTTGAAGGATCGTCAAGTGAAAAGTTCAAGGCTTCAGCAAAAAGGCTTCCCATAAAACAAATGGCCCAGAAGCCTGTACTAAACAGACGGAACCTGCTCTGGAGATCGAAGATGCCCAAGACATGGCTCGTGATGTGGCTCATGGCGGAGATGAAGGCTACTAGGAGAACCTCTGGCGGAGTGTTAACCCGTTTCATGATCATGGACCTGGAGATAGCTATGTTGGCCCCTGAAGCTTGCTGGAACGTGACGTTGGAAGTGCTGCCGCTCGAGAAGATCCCCCATCCCAGCTGGTTGCTAATAGAAGAATCAGCTTCAGCAAACGCCAACGAATGCTCAAAAAGCGTCATGCCCGTCTCGACAGCCACCAGTCGCCCTTGCACAGAACAGGATATGGTCTCCAGGAACTGGCTCAGGCAGAGTGTTCCGAAAAGAGGCCATAGCTGGGATAGAGAGCCCCGCAATTCGTTGGAGAAGTCCTGGTTGTTCGAGGGAATCATGTTGATCGCACGGCAACTATCGTAGTCGGTAGCACCAAACAATAATGTCGAACTGAGGCCATGTAGATAACCCCCCGGATGGGCAAACATGAGATCGGAAGTCTTGGCTGAGTTGCCCCAGCGCATCTCGGCGAAGTCGGGGGAGGTCTGGCATTGGATCGCCTGGAGGAGCTGCCGAGCTTGGTATACGAAGAGGACAATCGGTAGGACGCGTAGGAGGACTCGTATGGGCCATGTAAGTCGTAGTCTTCTTCGTGAGGCCGCGAATATGTGGGTGCGATTGAGAATAATAGCCTGTTGTTGTCCAAAGTTAGCAAGAGTGGCACTTAAAGGCGTTTGTCATGTATGTGCTGCTGCAGAGGTATTGGCAGCAAGCAAGGCACGTGGGTATGCATCTGTATTCCAACCATTCCCACTCATGGCACTGGACGGACCTACCATAGCAATGCAACATAATGCCCATTTACTCGTAGCATAGCTGAAGACGCTCCCCAAGCCCTTAGCACCACCACCCTCCATGGAGAAGCGCGAGACCATGGCGGCGGGGTCCTGATCGTCGTCCAGCACGTTGGCGAGATTGGCAGCTACCTCGGAGACGTCGGCGGCCATCTCGGCAGTGGTCGTGGTCAAAAAGTAGTCGCCCGAGCCGGTAGGGTCCGGGATGACTCGCTGTCCAAAGCCGTCGATCGCATCGGGGAAGCTAATGATAGAGCCTAGCCTGGTCAGTATCCTGGGCCCGGCCAATATGAGGTCTTCCAGCGACGGGGCGTATCGCGTGACGTTGACGGAGTGCCGGAGATGCTGGACGGTCCAAGAGGTGATGTTGTGCCAGACGCCGGCGTTATCGAAGGCGGTAGGCGCTGGTGCCAGAGCTGCACCTGGCGATGCCATTGTCGGACCTTATCACTAACCAACAAGTTCGTGGTGGACCTCCAACCTTGAGAGGTAGCTGGAGGTAGCGTAAGCCGGCCGCGGGTCGGCGATCGCAAGGGATGGGCCGGCCAGCTAGCTAGTAGCAAGGACAGGCAGTTCTGGAAGGAATGCTGAACCACTCTCGTCAGGTTAGCCGGTGCATATCCGGATCACTGATGTTGCGATCCCCAAAGGATTGACTTGTATTATTTAGTTACATGCAATGAAGATGATTCATCAGTCTTCACTTCTGGAGTGTGTCAGGTGGGCTTGGTCGAACTTTGAAGTTTATTACAGATTACTACCTAGGTAGGTATGCATGTACCAGCGGCCCGCCAGCGGCCGTTGCGACACCCACGGCAGACCGGGTCGCCCAACGCCTTGGCCTTGGCCTTGGCGTCCAGCTGTTGCGTGCTTACTGCATTCACTATTCGCTCTGTTGCCGCTTAAAGTCTTCCAAATTATTGCCTACATAATGGAGGCTGTCGTCGTCACGCCTTCATAAGCACGGATAACCTGGGAGGTAGCGTGCCATCTTATCCTTCTCGACGGTACACTGATCTTTCATCAAAGCTACTCCATACCTCGTAGGGCTAGATTACCATAGGTAGCCCTTCCTTCTTCAGTGTCCAGATCTTCCTACTACGATCAAATCGATCAACAACATCCCATTCGTGAGGACTGCAGCCATCAGATGCTCTCTGCCTCTCGGCACCAACAGTGCAGGATTCCCCTTTTTCTCGCGGGGTAGCATCCTCCCTCCCCCCGTATCCAGGAAGAGTTGAAGACCTCGAGGCTGCATACATAACTCATGTGGCCTGTCTTGCCCTTATGAATGCGCCATCATCGATTGTGTACCGCTGACCGCGGTTCCAATGGTGGAATCTGCAAAGCCAGTCATATTGCAGGCCGCTCATCATCCTTCCATGAAGCCTCGCCTTGGGGGCACTCTGTACCCATCGGGTGGGTGACTTCAGGCTGACTCTTTGCCTGGTCGAACCGTCTCGTTCAGGGCCGTGATGACAACACGGTTGGCATTGCGACAAGCAACCAAGCTTCTCTCAACCATTCTGTTGTAGAGCATACTGTCCGCGCCGGGTAGTTGACCCTTGAACCAGATATTCGTGATCTCATCCCGCGTGGGCAGGTAGGCAACACAACAAGCTGCAAACACCTTGTGATACTCCGAGACCGCCGGGTCCAAGACGATGGCAGGCGGGCTGTTTGGTTGTCTAGCCACCAGCGCCGCCACGCCTCCAGCAACAGTATCAACACAGTCGATGCCCGCATCCGCAATGGCCGCCGAAGCAACAGTGATACAACCACTCAGGACGTTCATCATGTCCCAGCCCTCGTCGCTCTTGTTCTCTGGGGCGTTGCGATCCTGGTCTCCTTCTATGATGGTGACAATGATATCGACTCCGCTCTTGGGCCACCGGTCGGCGATGATGGCTCCCCGTAATGCCGTCTCCAGATGTACGCCGAGGTCCCTCTCGCTCGAATCGCGCAGGTAGCCTCGTCTCTGTTTCGTCGCGAAGGGTGCGTATTTGACATGGGTCGAGAGGATGATGTGCGGTGAGAATGGCGCAGATCGCGGTAGAGCTCGGGGGCCGTGGACAGTACAGGTGAGTTTCAAGCTCGTACTGCTAGGACTGTTCGCCTTGGGGTCTTCAAGCTCGAGGTACGCAGAGCCGGATGCGGAAGGGGTCACTCCTGTCTTGAGAACTGCGCAAATACAATATCAGTATAGCCCAATGGAGATCACTACGACGGACTAGCTAGACCTACAGATCTTTCGAATGGAGTTGTCTGCCTTCTCCTTCGCGATAGGCTTGTGTGCGGCGGTATTGTATACAGGAGGCGCCGTTGGGCCTACTGGTCCGTTTACGCGTCTCCGGTCGGCCATCGTCGTCTATTACCTCTTCCTTGCCAGTTCGGTCGCTCGCAGGGAGGCGGTGGTCGTCGTTGGAGCTCTTTCCCGAAGTTTGGAAAATTGCACATGGAATTCTTGGAGTAGCACTGACCTGCTGCAGCCTGCTGAGCAAACAACTCGCTGCGACCAAAAGTGCCCCGCCAACCCGTGGACCCGCCTGCCAATTGCTCTGGTTGGGCACGGACCAGTGCAGACCTTTAAATCCCTTCCCAAGCTTAAATATTTTCACTCCTCTCAGATGTTTCTCTCCTTCCACAACATCCAACAGTTCTATCGCCCAGATCAGCCTCTTCACCCTCTCCACCCTCTGCTGGAACGTATTATTGCTGTGTCGAACGCACGCAATACTCTGTCAGACATTGCACGAACAGCTTCCAAATGGGATTGAAGTTGGGTGTCGAGTAGCCTGGATTTCGGGCGTCCAGACCACCTCAGCAAACCCAGTTCGACGCGATCACTGAGTAAGTCATACATTTTGTCCGCACATCCCTCCAAGCCCATCGCTATTGATGATCTCTTTTTCCACAGTTCTAGCGATCACCTGAGCATCTGAACAACATGCACTACCATCTGAAGCACCAACCCATCCCACGTTCTTGTAAAAAGTCACACTTGACCGGCAAGCTAACACGGCTTCTAGCAGGACCACAGCGCCACCTGGCTTGACATTCACCCATTGATGGGAGTATTGATGACGGTGAGTGAACCGAGTTTTCCTTTCCTCTATGCCCATGCCCAATGTCAATGATGAGAACTATCAATACAGTTCTGCTTCTGAACCTATGTGAAGATACCCCATACCAAAAAACTTACTCTGATTGAACATCCATCCTCGTCCTACTGCTTGCTGCTGGTCTTTATATCAGTCAACTGACAGTCGTACAAACAGATACTCCAGATCGTCGACATCATGCTGCTGAGCACTTGGCTCAGTCACCCACTGACCATGTAGTAAGTTGATACGATCCCCTACCGCTACCTCCCATCCCTTTCATCATGATGAAACCTAGTTTATCCATTCCACTATCTCACATCGGGTCGAGCCACCCTCCCGCACCGGAGCTGACCCTCTGGGTTTGTGATGATCGGTTGTGGAGTTATAATTACTTGACATATCTGACCTCGTGTTGGGGACTGTCGGGGCTGTAATGCTGTCTTCCGTGCCGTTGATCTCCACGTCTCGTCTTGAGGTGAGGAGTGAGACGGCCGACCCGGGTGAATGAGTAAAACGGTTTACCTGAATTGATACAACTTTACCATTTCAGATCGCAAGCTGAGTGTTGAAAGCCCGCTGACTGGTGATACAGCAGGTTCTTATATACATCCAAGCACCGTGATCCATTCTACCGGTAAGTCGGTCTATCGACAAACGACCATCGTAGCGAATCTGATGCTGGGATCGTGACGGAATGCTTCGCGCAGCCGCAACTAGATCATCCTCTCTATTCCGTATTTATTAGATGAATATCCCAGTTCTGTACCTGCCATATTCATGACTTCCTGTGTAATGCACCAGCCCCGCCTTGGTGGCTAGGATAGACAAGGGTATCAGCCACGACGATGTTCTCTTTTCTTCCCGCAACGAAGACAACCACTTCAGCAATGTCGTCTGGTGTTAAAGGATCACAACCGCTGCACCTGCTATCAGCGACGAAGGTTGGGGTGTCTCATGACAGAACTTACGCGTAGACGGCATCTGCCTTGGATTTATCGCCGTAGAACCGAACGACGGAGAACTCCTGTCTCAACATCAGCACAATCGTCCTTATTCCTCCGTTCGTCCAGCAGAACGGATTTGCGTACCGTCTCGACCTGGCCCGGGTCAATCTCCATGACCCGGATCCGGCTGGCAATGAGTTCCTTCCTGAGCGAGTCGGTGAAGCTGCGAACGGCCGCCTTGGTCGCGCAGTAGATGCTCCCACCGACGTAGGGCTCGCGACCGGCGATGCTGCCGATGTTGATGATGTCGCCGGAGCCGCCGTTGGGCCGCTTCAGGTAGATGGGCATGATGGCCTGCGTCATGTTGATCAGGCCCGTCACGTTGGTCGCGAACATGACGTTCAGGTCCTCCTCGGCGATTTCGGGCGCCTTGGCTACGCCCTTGACCAGGCCGCTGTGGTTGGGTTGCCGTCAGTGATCCATCCGTCTTGTACGCCTCTCGTTCCGTTCTGGTGGTCTCTGTGTTGTCTGGACTGGCCTTCTCATGCTCTCCCGACTGCTTCAATTCTCACGTTCTTCTTTGAGAAACCCACCGCAAGCAGCTCCCAGAACACCACCCACCACAGAATCCAGATCAAACAAAGAAAAAGGCAAGGCACTCACGCATTATTAACCAAAACATCCACGTCCCGGAACTCCTCGGGCAACCCGCCCACGAACCCCCTCACCTGCTCGGGCTTGCTGACATCAAGCTGCACGGGGTGCACCCTGACGCCGTCACCGACCTCCTTGGCGATGTCGGCCGCGACTTCTTTGAGAGTGTCGATGCGGCGCGCCGTCAGCACGAGCTTCAGATTCTGGGGTGCGGTGCGCGCGAACTCGAACGCCGTTGCGCGCCCGATGCCTGACGAGGCGCCGGTGATCACGACGGTCTTGCCTGCGAGGCGCTTGCTGACTGCGGAGGACATGGCGGCTGCTTGGGCGTGGGCGTGGGCGTGGGCGTGGGCGTGGCGGGTAGATAGGAGGGGTTTGCAGGCGAGGGATTGGATGCTGCTGTGTCTGAGGCTGGGACGGGACAGGGACAGGAGGGTGTGGAAGCTTGTTCTGGCGAGGGGCATAGGTAAAGCTTATGCTTTTTGCAATCATCAAGGATCAGAAGATGGCTTTCGCATTGGATGCTTGACTATCTTATGTACGACAACAGATTCAATGGCAGACGCAGACGATATCGGATCGTTGCAATGATGCCATCGGGATTCAAGCGGGAGGTGGTGCTGACCTGAGCCCCACCAATGTGCCCCGCCATCGAGGTCCGTATCAGTGCAGCTTTGCCGACGTTTCGGGGGGCAGTCGCGGGCACCGGTCGCAGCTTTGGGATGTTGCATTCGACCTCACCTCTTCCATAGATGAGTTATCGGCATAAACTTTGAGATCATGGTTTTGTTTGGAGGCGTAGTATTAATCAGGTCAGTGGGAGGTACGAAGTTCTACGGCATGGTGTCTGCCATGTGCCAAAGTCGATCTGCCCCAATGCCAAGCGAATATCACCTTGGTTCAGTTGCATGTGCTGTCCACGCAGAAAGTTTGCAGATTCAATGACAACGCCGCAGTTGCCGTACACGGTTGTAAGGTTGACGGCACACAGCTTCGAGCTACCGGTGAACGATGGAAAGCTGATAGCTTGTCCTTGGAACCCCGTCAAGTGTTGTTCTCGGTCTGTCCGGCCTTCCTGATATACGTTTAGCGTACATAATCCCCCATACGGAGCACAATGTTTCAACGCATAATCATCTGATTGGACTTGCGATTAAACCGTCTGGTTGTATGGTGTAGTGGTTAGCACTTCAGATTTTGAAGTCTCTTCAATAACTTCTGGAGACCCCGGTTCGATCCCGGGTACGACCTTTTTTTCGATTTCAGTCAACCTGACAGACTGATTCTTCACTTTTGGCTGTCCTGTCTTTTTGTCGCATTGAAGGTTACGATTGTTTCTCATTCTGTGGTACCTAGAACCGTCCGCCCCTTTGTTGTAGCAACGAGGCCTCAAGACAGCATCGTTCACCCTCTGCAGCGAAGTGTCAATCTATCTATCAGTATGCCACTATCTCTTGTTACTTCATAACGTTAAAATAGATGTGTGTGTGTGTCTTCTTTTCCAGCTTTACTAGAACATTCGTGGACTGCCTACACATGATCTAGACACCTAGTAGTTCTCCGGCATACACAGCGCCAATGGAGGTATCATTTCAATACAGGAAAGCAGGCCAGTTCGTTGCCAGATCCTTTCGAGTAGTGCAGGAGAAGCCAAGCTGGCAGAGGAGGTGGACCTGGTCACATTCTCATCCGCACGATGGCAATATCAGCCAAACACTCCCCATCCCCCCTCAGCCCTCTCGGAGTCTTCTCCTATCTTCTTCCCATATTGAACATTATGCCATACATTGGAAGAGATAGCATTAAACCGACTGAGCTTTCCAAGATTCCATGTCCGCTCATGCATTGCCGCCCAAACAGCAACCCACCACCTCCACGCCTCCGAACGCACAGAGCAGCATCCATCTCACATAGTCGGCCAACTCATCTCGATCTCCTTTAACTCGCCCCTACCCCGAAAATCCTCCACAACATCGGCCTGCTCACAAAGCATCGTTCTTTCCGCCTGGTTCCCCATCCTCGCCAGCCCCCTCCATCTCTCCAAATCCTGCTTATTCCGCTTATCCCCATGCGCCTGCTCGGGACACTCCCAGTGGCCCTTGGAGAACCCCAGCATGGTCGTGATGCGGCCCTCCTTGATGTCGTACACGAGACTGCACATGGTGCCCGTCTCCTCGAGCCAGTTGCACTGCCACAGCTCGCCCGGCCGGATACACTGGTACGTCGCGGCCTGGTAGTTGTAGCGGCCGGCCATGGGCCCGCCGTGGATCGCGTACACGATCCGGTCCGCGTTGTAGAACCACATCTCGTAGCGCCACTTTTCCGGGTTGCCGGAGGACGTGTTGTTGCCTGGTACGTCGTAGTCGTAGATTAGGTGGCGGTTGCCGATGTCTGCGTCGAAGGCCTTTTGGCTCCCGATGGAGCCGACAACGGGCATGGTGGCGGCGGCTGAAGAGGAGGTGTGTAGGGGTTATGGGGTTTGTGGTAGGTAGGTATGTCGTGAGGTGCGATGGTAGAAGGTGTTGATGTTATCGAAGGCGTACTTTACAGGTAATATGTGCATGCTGGCATGGCGCAAATAGGTAGGTAGGTAGTGTGGATAGACAGGTGGATGGACTACGCTGTGATGATATCATCGATGCTCACGAGCACTTGACGCTAAGAAGGCTCACGATGGAGCCGGACCCGTGTTGTGGCGTGACTCGTGTCGACATAACATACAACCTTCGGAAGATATCAGCACGGCAAATTGAGTCCGCGGTGTGCGATGGCATTGTTGAGTTCGAAGGCCCACCTTACGCCTATCGGGTCTGTATTACCTACAGCGCTGCAGGGCAGCCAGAATTGGGAATTGCGAACCGGTCAATTGTGAACACTATAGCTTGGGACAAGAACAGGTCCACGATCTCGACATACTGGATGCGTGCTCTACCTGAGGGGGTTTCGCACGGCAAGCTTGCGCGAGATGGATGGGGACAAAATATCGCTCTGGGCGTGGTGTATTGTTTATTATTACTAGTAGAGGTCGACAATATTTAAAGACTCCCAACTCCATAGAATTAATAGACCCAGTCTATTCGGTCCAGTTGCGCCTGCTCTATTAACGCATTCCTGCCGTCGTGTACACATCCTCGCCTCGCTAACCAACAGGCAAGAGTTCCTTTCTATGACGGCGTGCCATCGAACCAAGACTTGAGTATCTCTATCGTTTCCTTGTACTCGACCGCGACGGTATCCTTCGGCGACAACGGCAATGGCTTATCCCAAGCATGTTTCGCGCCTTCGACCACGCGGACAGTGACCGGCTTGCCCTGATCCCCTATCCTCTCAGCGAATATCAGGCCTTCGGCGAGTAGCATGTCGTGCTCGCACAAGCATAGATGGACTGGTGGCAGTAGCCTTATCATCTCGTCGGGCATCAGACCTGGCGAGAGCCGAATGTCGTCTCTTTCGCGCCTCGGCCGCGGCGGATGCAAGTACGAGGCGTCGATCAGGTCTGTCAGACCACTGGGCAGCGTCATGTCCGGCGCCTTCGAGGCCTTGCGCTTCTGCGGTCGGTCAACGGTCCAGTCCAGTAAGGGGTAGTAGAGAGCCAGTCCAGCGATGTGCGGTATGGGCGATGGTATCTCGTAGTTCCATCGTGCGGGGTCCTGCAGCACGATCCAACTACTCGTCGCCAGAGTTCCGCCAGCGGAGAAACCAGAAAGGATGATGCGGCTCGTGTCGATGTTGTACTTGTCGGCAAGATTGCAGATCTGAATGATGGAGTCGACGCAGTCCTCGACCGCCTTCGGGAAGGGATACCCCGGTGCCAGGCGATAGTTAACCGAGAAGACCACGGCGCCCAGTCCCGTCGTGAGAGAGTCAGCCCATCGCGCATCGTCGGTGCCTTTGCCTAGAATGAAACCGCCGCCATGAAGATTAATGACGGCCGTCCTCTTTCCCGAGCCGGCGGGAGCTGGATCGTCGCGTGACGGTTTCCACACGTTGACGCTGATCTTCTCTTTGCCCTGGTACTCTCCCAGCGTCGAGTCCAGCCAGATGGTCTCGGTCGGGGACGGCGCATGCTGGCCAGAGGAGTTACCCAGGTGGAATCCTAGAGTTGCGCCGAGGCGAAGAGCGTATGCGTGCGCCGTGAGCAGCCATCGAGGGGTGCGCTCGGCGGGATTCACGTAGTCGGCCTCAACTGGTGCTGGCTCCATCTCGTCCATCGCGATGGATGACGAGACGTGGACGGCATTCTTGCCCGTCATCTTTCCTTGCGATAAGCGGACTACTGTAGGAATAGTTACGACTGTCCTTCTTTCAGGTGGATCTCAAGAGGAAATAGATGAATAAAATTAAACCCAAAAGTGAGTGAGCTGTTCAAGGTCCTGGATTTGAAACTTGAAAGTCAAAGAATGATGTAATGGTGTGTTGACCTGAATGGGGTGATTCCGGAGAGGTGGGGCTGGGTCTGGTGCCTGGGCCCCTGCATTCAATGTTCCACACAGTCCAGATCGTGGCTTGATTCGCAGTCAGACCCGGGGGAGTGGCGTCGAGTGCCACAGCCTGCATTAGCTTTGCTCGCTTTAATGCATTCATGCATTGCCAATAGCTCAAGAGTCAACAGAGGCATTGAAGCCGTCTGATCCGCATCTTTGCCTCAGCTTGCAAATAGGTACCTACCTAGGTAGGGGACGGCCATTGAGCGGGAGGATGAGGTTTTCTCCCGATGGTTCATGATACTTCATGTTTATTATGCAGTCCCTCAATTCACCATCGCTTCCGCCGGCTTATGGGAGGGGAGGCCTGGTCAATCACTGGAACCCGAATGCTTGGCACTTGCTGGATGCCGGCAATCGTTCCGCAAAATGATATGGAAGCTCGTGGTGGGGATACGCAGCAAGGCTTCAGGATACTTGAACGACGAAACGATTTGCATTAATGGTAAGCGATCCTGCAATACTGTATCCTAGAAACTATTCCAGACCAAAGCTGTCCTCTTCACAGTTGATACCTGTATATCAGGTGATACCAAGCTCCTTCCGTCAAATGCTGCTCCCTCCGAGTTGTAAAACTTGGGAGTAGTCAAAGGGGCCTTGTGAAGGCGCCACGATGTTCAATGTCACCACTTTTGGGCAGGACTCCCCTTGTGGCTGGAATACATGATACATACTGCGTGCGGCGGAGTATATCGCCGGTTTCGTCCCAGGCCATACCATAGCAAGGGCCACGATAACCAGCAGCCAGAACAGAATGTTTGCCATCAGCCTGGGTAGCTTGTTGTACATGCTGTGCTTGTTGTAGACGCCGAACCAGGGATGGTTGCAGACTTGCTCGCTGCTGGTCCGCTCGGCTGGATTATACTTCAGCATGCTTTTGAGGAGGTCTGCGAGTTTCGGTACTTCCTCCTGCGGATATCGGTACGTGATTGTCTGAAACTGCTCGTTCGGAGGCAGGCGCTCATAGTTTGGTACGGACCGAAGGATCTGTCGTTCGGATCCTAGGGTCTCTTCGAAGGTCTCTCTGCTGGCAATCGCTTGCGTTGAAGATACGTGGTTGGTCTGTTCTGACGTGCGGTACGCTTCTGGTAGTGGACCAAGATAGCGGGTAATCTCGTCCAGCGTATCCCGCACACCTTCTCCCTTGGAAGACTCAAACAGTGTGCGGTTGGTCTTGATCTCATAGATAGTGCATGCTAGGGACCAGATATCGCTCGCGGAACCCGGGGCATCTTCAAGCATAACCTCTGGTGCCGCATAGGGAGTTGCAGTTGTAGCTGTCTTGGAAGGGAAGCCCACCCTGAAGGCGTGTCCAAAATCAATGATGGCAACCGACGGTGTCACCAGGTCCTGGCACCACTCGGAAGGCAGTTTCTCCACCAAGTATTCGGGGGCGTGGCCCTTGGGACTCTTGCCCGATACAGTTTGGGTGTTGACTTGTTGAGGCTTTCCCGTTAGTCGTAATAGCTCCGCTTTGCTGAGTTTTTCGATGCCTTGTAATCTCATCAAGATATTTGCTGGCTTGAGGTCGCCGTGACAGATCCCTCTGTCGTGTAGGAATCGAACGCTCTTTGCGACCTGGTGGCAAACGCTGGTTATAGCTGCGGCTGTACTTTGCTTTGTCGAATCTTGGGTTGATGACCATGTCGTGACCGCGCAGCCATGAACGTCGGACATGAAGCATAGATGTCGTCCATTCGGTCCATCTAACCAGAACCCAGAAATGTCAACGTCGAGGTGACTTTGAGCCAACATGGTCTGCTGGGACTGGCCGCCAGTCATGAACTTGATCATGGTCAGATCATTTTCGTCAGCTGAATGGTCTGCGGTCATGACCTTCACAGCTTTCCATTTCGGAGTCTTTATTTCCCAGCAAAGCCACACGGTGGCGAACCCACCATGGCCAAGCTTGTGGACAACTTTCCACCTGCGGTGGAGTATCTCGCCGATATGAATGGGATGATAGCCGCCCTCGTTGTAGAGCTGGATGTCTTCCATGCCCTCCACGCCCTCCATAGGGACATATCGGATTTTCTTATGCTTTGAAGATTTCGGCCCCTTCGGAGCTTTCGTGGCGGGGCGGCCCCGACCCGGTGCTTCGCCTGGACTTTCGATATTGGACATGATGTTGGAGTTGCCGAGGCTTCGGGTCTAGAGCCTTCGTTCGAGAGATGCGCAAAGCTCACGACAGGGCGGGAGTTGACGCAGCACAAGTGAGCTTAGAATATGGAAGAACGCGACTGATGGGAGCTCGATGCAGCCGGATGCCCCATGGAAACTTATGTGAAAGGGTGATGCTGCTTGATGTCTTTGTCCCGGATGCAGCCATTCCGCAAATTGACAAGCGTCTTGTTTCCGGCAACTGCGCAACCTTGCCATGTCTCAGACACCGTTCTTTGGGTGATACGTCGCAACTGTATGGAATGTGACATTTCAACAGGGTTGACAGGTCATCATCAGCATCAACTCGTAAGTTCTGCCGTAAGGTGTTACACGTCTTTCTCTTTGCTATCGCATCAACCTGCGCATCAACGACACCCTCAGCTCCCCTTCGTTTCTTGGACTTCTCACGCTCTTCAAGTCAGTATGTGAGCTGCTCCCTGCTGACCTGTTGCAGCATGGGTTCTCCCGACCGACCTATGCCACGAGTGGCGGCATTTGGCTCCCTGAAATGCGAATGTCCGTGTGGTTGCTGTCGCTGAAGAACAAAATCGACACTACAGCTTACGCATCGACATACTGAGCTGAGATTCACGGCGTCGTCACTCTTCATGGCCTAACGTGGCATGTCAGCAGACGGAAGGCACATGAGCTCGCACAGTTTGGCAAGCCACATACACCCTCAAAATACCATCTGAGAGTATGCATGGAATTTTATATTACCAGCTACCCAAGTCAAGATTGCTTGAAACCGCAAAGCGGCAAAGTAGTATTCTAGTTGCTTGGATTAGCGAATAGGTCGGACAGTATATAACATCTCACCCCCCCCTGCGGACCACCCCCCCACGGACCACTCCACACCACACCACTCTCATTCAGATGAAGCCATCTACAACCACCACAGTTGCTAAATACACTAAGGTCGTGGTGTTCTAACCATAATACAGCTCCCAGAATCCGATTCCGACCCTAAATCTTCACCAGGGACCTCTTGTGGGACCTCTTCGCCTGTAGCGGAGTCCTTATAGACCCTCCTGTTCCTCAGCTCCATTTTGGCCTCCCTTATGTTAGCCATTGTGACGAATCGTTCCCCTGGTGTTGGTTTGACTGCTTTTTGAGTGATATTAGCCTTTTTAGCCACTTGAGCCTCAAGCAGCTCACATTTGGCCCGTAGATTTGCAATGGTAGCAGCCTGAACATCCATGGCCTTGCCAGCCTTCCGCACCAACAAGCGCTCAGAGGGCCCCCCAAAGGAAGGGTCCTTTCTTTCGAGCTTTCGAGCACTCTCCCGCAAAGCCCGGCTTCCAGAAGGTGTTGTGACAATGGTTTTAGCTACCATCTCGAGAAAATCTGATGTTGTGGCTCGCTCGGAAGTCTTAGGGTCCCTCTGGCGTGCCCTGGCCACCCCCTTGTCCTCCAGAATCACATATTTCGACTTCAACGCCTCCGCTCTGTTGCGAGGAACAATCCCAGTCTTTTTCCAGGCAATTCTGATGTTGAGGAGCGTCATTGTGTCCTTCCGGGCCTGCTCGTAGCACTCCAAAACCTCCTCCTTAGATGGCCTGAGTCCCAGACGGCCGCTGGGCGTCTCCTGGAGTAAGGTCTTCAACCTTTTCTTTACTAAATTGAAGACTCCCACATCTAATACCTGGACTATATGGGAGCAGTGAGGTTCATAAAAGATCAACCATACTTTGTTTCTCAAGCAGGTGGCTAGGAACTCGTTATTCGTGTGGGAGTCGTGGCCATCACACACCAAAACCACCCATGTGTTGCCGTGGACCTCCCGAATATGAGGAATAAAGATACGTTGAAGCCATTCTAACGCAATGGGATTCGAGGTCCATCCATTGGGCGACGTAATAAACCTCCAGTCGGTGAATTTGCCCTTATTTTGATTGCTAAATCACTGGGCTTGTACGTTAACCCCCTTGAGAATCACTAGCAGCGGCAAGGTCTCACCAGATCCACTCACACACTTTAGGGCAGTTATCCATTCACCCTTCTCGACCCCTTTCTTCATAGCCACGTTGCCGGAGGCCTCGGAGACCACCCAATGGGAGTCCCCAACCCCCTGGGCGATTCCCATTTCGTCGACGTTGTACCAGCGTGCTGGCATGAGGTTAACCACGTCAGGGGCGTCATACCGATCGAAAAAAATGTTGATATTTGCTGCTGTAGCACCATTCACTCGGTTGTAGTCGATAATACGAGACTTCATTATCTTGACTACCGGGTTTCGAGACAGGAACTTGGATGCCTAATTTTTCCCTAATTCTCGAGCATCTCCGGTGGCATGGAGCATTCGCTGGGCCATGAGACGGAACTTAGAGACCGCCGGAGAATACCCTAGCCGTGCTTGCCCCAGGGCCCAGCTTGCCAGCTTATGTTCGAGATACGGTGAGAGAGCCTGTTGGAGAGCGCTGGTCTCATTCCGCGTTGGGGTGCCAGAGATTTGTCGGTTGACGTACGAGCGACTGATTTGCCATTCGAGGGCTGACGAGCGGACTGGAGCTCCGTGTTGGATGGCCAAAATGGCGGCTTCAACTTTTATTTGACGGTCGTAAAATGACATCATGAGATTCAGCAGTGGATAAGGATTCAAATAGTGTGCTTTGTGAAAAAAAAGATGCAAAAGTGATGGTGTAGATGGTGGATCACTATAATCCTGGTGGTTGGTGAATTACGCGTTTGTGGGTCAGAACGCGCTGGTCCGCGGGGGGGTGGTCCGCAGGGGGGTGGGAGATGTTAAGAAGTGCCCCAATGGCTCACGTCACCACCAATTGCATTTTCTGGTCGTTGTGCTGGAAACGGATGGTTTTCTGGATTTACAAGATAAGTGAGAGCATTATTTGTGAACCGACGAGTGCAGTATGAACGTGGTAGCGTTATTATATTTAAGAAAAGGTTTATCGACTGTTTATTAGTAGTAGAATATACTTAAGCCCTTTATAAGTCCTTATACGACCTAATAGCGTGGCTGATTTCTATATACTGCTTATACAAATAGATAAATATTGCTTACACGTCTTTTTTTTATAGCTGCAATTAAAGGCTATATATAGCTAGTTATTTTTTAATTAAATTAATAAATCAAAAACTTATTTGTTTGTATTTTGATTATTTTATTAACTGTGAAAAAGTATTATAATATATTTGATTAATATGTAATTAAATTGTTAGTAAGCTTAAGCGTATTATAATACTGTAAACCTATATAAGTATATCCTTTTCAAGTTAATTGCTTTGATTTTTTTTAAAAGAAAGTAATAAATTGTTTAAATTTAAGATTATTGAATAGCTTTATAGAGCTATTAATATAGGGTTTTTTAACGTGTTTTAATTTAAATATTTTTTCGTTAATCTTTCAGCAAATATAGTTATATATTAAATAAATATCATGGCGTTTTAAATATTTTAAGCTTCTTTATTTACGATTTAACGCTAGTATTATTTCATATAACTATAATGCTTTTTAAAAATATTAACTTAAACTTTCTAAGAGATTTATAAATATAAGGGGCATTTTCAATAGTTTTATCAAGTATTATGTCTTTTGATTTAATTTTTTATACTTATAATTTCTTACATGATCTTCTTTAAAAACATTAAAGCTTTTATTATAAAATATAGATGATTAAAAATCCATTCAATATTATTTTAATCATTAATAAGTTAATATCGCATGCGTTTAATAATCTAAACTTAGTATATTTACGGTAAAGTATTAGGTATTAAGCTTCTAGTATTAAATGTTACGATTAATAGTGCTTCTTACGTATTTAATTTTTTGCTTCAGTATTTTTAAAGGCTTAAAGGCCAAGTTATTTATAAAAAGACCTTACGCTAACGTTATAAAAATTGAAGTTTTAAAATATACGTAAAAAGGTTAAACTTGATAAATATAAAGGCGTTTTTTGACGTTTTTATTAGTTATTTGATTTTTAAAATTATAAAAGATAACGTATTTAAAGCTAACAAGCTTAAAAACTTATAAAAATGCGCGCGTTTTATTTATTTATTTAATAGATTTGAGCGCTTTTATTAAATATTAAGATTAATTAAGCTTTACATTTTTTTATATAACTTTAACAATTTTAACGCTGATATATTAACCGACGTCTTTTCTATTTTTACTTAAATCTTTTTTAATATTAATAGCGATATTTTTAACAGCTAAAAGTCGTGTTTAAATAGTAAAAAAAATATCAGTGTATAAAACGATAATATGTTTCGTAAAGTAATTAATATAAATGATATTATTAAAAGTAAAGGGCTTAAATTTTCGTGCTTTAAAGAATTTTCTAATTTTTTTATTAGGTATTCTTTATTTACTTAAGTTTATATAAAGGGTTATAAGGTTCGATAATTATGTTTTCATTATAATTACACTTTTTAAGTACGTATTGAAATATCTTTTAATATACGTAATAGTTTATAAAGATCTTTTTTAAGCTTATTATAAAGGTATATAGCGACGAAAATTACTTCAATAATATATTATTTTATTCAGATAGCAAGCGTTATTAAGATTTATTAATATGTTTTCTTCATTATTATAACAGTCGTTTTATTATAATCGATTTTTCCACGTTATTTTGTAGCGGTCGTTTACGCTTTTCACTTATCAAGTTTATTTATTAATAAATATTTGTTTAGTATTTATTTTACGTTAATCAGATAGCTTTAAATAATGTTGTTAAAAGTTTTAAACTTAAACATATTTTTCTCTCGATGTTTTTTCGTATTTTTACAAAGATAACTTTAACTTATAGCCTATATTTAAAGCTATTTATAGCTTTTTTGAAGGTAAAATTATTTACGTTCATAACGAAAAGGAGGATATATTAGTTAATTAAGAGTAATATTTGGGTTTGAAAAGCTTATTAAAAATTTAATTCCTTTATATTAAATTCTTCTCTTATAAGCGCGTAATTAAGTTTTATTTTTATTATATAAATTTT